AGCTGCCTGCCACTGCCGCAGAATGGTAAAGATATAGGCAAATTACAACAGGGGCCGGAGCACTTGGAACATCTTGAGTAATTCATAAAACTTGTCAGAATGATAGTTTGCCCCCTCACGCTGCCATTTGTATGGTGTTTACTCACACATGCAGAGAACGGTGTGTCCCAGGAGCCGTGAGCACAAATCTAACGCTTATGGTAAACTGCACCGGTTCAGTTAAGTTTCTCTACTGAGGATACAGAGTGGGTAGTGTGGAGCAGGGAAAAGCAGGGGAGTGGGGGGAGTGGGTGAGGCGGAGTAGGCAAGGTGGGGAGAGTGGGTGGGGTGGGGAGAGTGGGTCGGGTGGAGCAGGCAGGGTGGGGAGAGTGGGTGGGGTGGAGCAGGCAGGCTGGGGGGGGTGAGTGGGTGGGGTGGAGCAGGCAGGCAGGGCGGGGAGAGTGGGTGGGGTGGAGCAGGGGAAAGGGGGGGGAACGTGCCCAGTTGTGTGAGGTTTGCCGTTCGTCTTACATTTTTGTTTTGATTTGTTTTGCTGTTCTACCCCTGTTCGCTTCCATAAATACTGCCTATAAAACCCGGCCACCCTGAGACCCAGCGGCGGGACAGTGTCAGCCAGCTGGACAGATGAGCACCTACCCATAAGGATCCTGTAAGATTTAAGTGCTGCCTGCAGTGCAGGGGGGTCGGAAGCACTGCCCCAAGCCCAAACCCTGGATGGAGACCTCGGGAACAGGCTGTTCTGCATCTACACCTGTGTTTTTAATAACCGCTCACCCAGCGAGGCTTGTGAGGTGTGCTTTGGTCAGGAAGGTGTGTGTGTCACACACACACACACACACACACCCCCCTTCACTGTAACATGGTAAACAGATAAACAGATGATGAGTGTCATGGCTGGCAAATATACATGTTCAACTGGGTGTCCTTTGGGAAGATTAATACAGCAATAGGAAATGTCCAAACGTGCAGAACTGGGGAACTAACTGACACTTTAAATGTGGGAATCTTTTTGAAGGTATTTTGGGTCCCTGCCATGGGCTGGTCCCCCCACCTTGCTAACACACCCCCTCTATACCCCATAAGAGCTTCTGTGTACTAAGGCCTATTCGCCCTGTATGCACTGATCCTCCATGCTGAGTGGACGTATTTATCCCAGGACTTGGGTGGCAGAGGTCCCGGGTGCTGGCATGCTGCTCAGTCCTTCACTGGCTGGGCCAGCAGCCTCCAAACCTCCGAGTCCGGCTTTCAGCTGGTTGCTGTGAATGTGTGGTCCAGTGCAATGCTGGTTGCTGTGAATGTGTGGTCCAGTTAGGGCTGCACGATTTATCGATTTAAAATCGGAATCACGATTTGAAACAACGTTATTATTAAGTCGCAAAAATCGCGATTTAGGATATACATTATACAGCACGTCGGACCTAGGGTTTAAAACTGCTGTGAGAATAGTTTTACAAATTCATGCCGTACGTGCTCCCTGTGTGACAGTCATTCTCACCAATCACAAGCGTCGTGCTTCTCGCGTGCAAGTCATGCTCACCAATCAGAAGTGGCCCAAGAAGGCAAACAGCAAACACGTGAAACCCAAGGAAAACGTTACAATCGCGGTGCGGAAAAATACTGATTCTGCTACTGAGCTATAAGTGAATTGCCTTCTTATTTCATGGTCCGAGATTGTTTCAGAAAGGTTCTATCATCAATAGAACCGGCGAGCTGCTTTTAAACACCAGCTGCAATATATTTAAGCATATCACACTTTTGGTTTTTATTAATAGGCAATAACATTAGTATCCAAAAAAGCCGTAAAACCCACAATACAGTCGTGTTTATGTCATATGTTTTTTGTGCTTATTAAATTTAAGTGTTTCCAAAGATTAATCCCACAACAGTAATAAAATAAAAGTCTTACTTTAACATAAATACTAAAAGAATAGATCGCTTTAATCGCTATTACAGTTGGTTATGGGCACGTGGTCTTATTTAGAAAACATACAAAAAGAGACGCATATAATGTTTAATCATTCGTTTTGTATTTGTCCGAGTAACAAAGCAAAGGAATGATAAGCTGCATACTTCAGTCGAAAACTGCATTTTACTTCTCATTTAAAATAAAATGCAGGGTTGGCAACTTTGGTCAGCTGCATGGAGTGAGATTTTCTGTTCTCTGTTCTGACACACATTTACATGTAGCCTATGTAAGTTTTATTACCTTGTAGTCTGTAGGGTTTGCAAACTGCTGTAACGTTTTTGATGCAGCTAATTTTAAGTTCAGAGTGGAATATAGATTTGCCGTAAGATTTCTTGCGTGAGAGTCTGAAAGAGTTTGCAACCATGAACACGTACATTTTTTGTTTCACCTGAATTGATTTGAAAATAACCGAACACAGTTGTTAAAAAGCGGAAACTTCGACCAACATGAAATCACCAATAAACGACTTCTATTTATTCAACATTTTATAAAATGCATACTACGTTAAAAAATTTCCAGCATTACGGTTTCAGGACAGAACAGCCACTCTTATGAACATTACGGTTCTTTGAGTGTTATTAGTGTTAATAACAGCAGCAAACAACACAATAGCGCAAACAAAAGGGCTGCATACACCGAAGTAGTTCTTGCTTGTTCATTGGCGTGGGAAAAGGCGGTTCTAGTGTTATTAGGAAGGTAATAAGCGTTGCCTGCAAGATCGCTATTTTTCTTTTTGCTGCAGTTGTTTTCATTATTACTTTATTTAACTTGACACATCACATCTTTCAATTCTCATCCTTGCATTAGAATATAGACCAGTTAATACTGATGATATCTCATGCTGCGTCATATGTTTTGAAATTACTACTCACTGAATATTGAACTGAAGCTTGACATAAAAAATTTAATCGCAAATCAAATCGTAATCGCAATTTCTGTCGGAAAAATCGCGATTCGATATTTTCCCCAAGTCGTGCAGCCCTAGGTCCAGTGCAATGCTGGTTGCTGTGAATGTGTGGTCCAGTGCAATGCTGTCTTTCAGGCCAGACCCTCTTTACTGCCTGTGCTCTGAGCTTCGGCCCATGTGAGGTCTCCCCCCCCCCTGCCGGTCCCGGCCTCCGGCACCCCCATTAATCATTGGGAGAGGGAAAAAATGAAAATGTTGCTCTTGGACTTCCCCTCCCACGAAAGTGTGGGATGGGGGAGGGTTTAGTGTGGGGAAACACAATTCCTTGTGTGACTGAAATTCAAACTCATTTTCCAAAAGACTGAGCAGATCCACGGCTCACATCAGCCATGCGTCCCTGAAGCTCTACTGCATGGGGGCCTTTGACCCTCCATAGGAAGAGGGGGTGGGACAGCCTTTCCAAAATGGTTTTAACATTTATGTGAGCCTTTTCATAGCTGTGTGTGGGTGGGGGTTGGTGAGGAATTTTATAAGGAGATTAGAAAGGCAGCTTTCTCCAAGCTCCACTCAGTGAGCCCATGCAGGCCTTTGATCTACAGGCCTGCACTCCAGCATAATGCAGGCCGTGTTAGCAGGGCTCTGAGGGGCCGATACCATCCCGCTTGGGGCTGCAGCCCAGCGGGCTGGGGGCACTCATATCATCACTCTATCAGTTTCGTTAGGCGAGACCGACTTCCGGACCATATGATGGGGGGGAGGGGTTCTTACACTGAGCCGCAGGGACAGTGCCACTTTTTGGCCTTAAATGCATAACCTGTAGAAGAATCCTGTTTCCCGGGCGCGTTCCGGTTGCCAGGCGGCACGGAGGGTGAGAATCCCCCATCTGGTTAGCGATTAGCACGGCAGCACTTCGTGTGACACATATCAGCCTGTGTGCTGTGCAGAATGAGCAGCTTCCCCTGTCGGCTGTGTGCATATTGAGATTAACTGAAGTTCGCCATCTGTAATGCAGTTTGGAAGCGAGGAGGCGCAATGAAGCCTTTCCTGTAGCTTTTCCGTCTTTGACTGTGTTTCGTCAAACTTGCTGTTATTAATGTGAGTTTGTTTATATCAAGATCTGCTCCTCCATGCTTTGGCTGTGCTGCTTTTTGACTGTTTTTGTTCATGTCATTTTTCAATACAATAATCTTTACACAAATTATAGTAAATGTTATTAGTATTGATGGTATTTGTAGTTGTGCTGCTGGAGGTGCTTCCTCTTAATGTCCTGAGTGCTCTGGTCTTTTCTGGTGCAGTGGTTTGGTCATTTTAATATGAGCTTTTTCTGAAAAAAGTTACTTCTGTCCCCACCATTCTGATTACTGGCCCTGTGGAGAATATGAAATACAGGATGTGGGTCAGTGTTCTGACCCAGTGATCCATCAGCAGCTCTTCCCCTGTTTAATGACTTGGTTCCCCTGGCCTAGAACGAGCCCAGCGCCAGGAAAGCAGTGCGGCCAGCGAAAACATGTCGGTGTCGCCACCGTGACATGTCAGTGTCAAATGTTCTTTCGTTACATTACATTTACTTACTTAGCAAACACTCTCATCCAAAGTGAGGCACAGCTGAGCGAGCCAGGTCAGACAGGCCCTGGGGCATTTTGGGGTCTTTCTCAGGAGCCCAATGATGATATCACTCTGCCAGCCACAGGATTTGAACCAACGACCTTCCGTTCACAAGTCCTGACATGATTGTGAAGTGCTACGACTCATGTTTCATGCCAGCATTTTGGTTTTCAGTTGTAATTACAAACAGGGAGCTGTTTCTCATAGGAAATGTCAAAGTCCAGGCCCACAGAACACCCGAAGAGAACCATGCAGCATGCAGCAGCCTGCTAATTCTCCTTGGTGTCTATAGATACCTTGGTGTGGTCAATATACAGCAGAGAAATCAGTTTATGATTAGCTGACTCGTGTTGAATTTTCCAATGACCCAGATCATTTTGCTGTGGACAAAAATGTAAACGATATTACTCGGGTAGCTCAGCTCAGCCCGATTGCTGCGTGTTTATCGTGTAATGGCTTAGCATGTGGTGCAGCGGGAAGCCAGTTTCTCCAGTCAAAACGCTCTCTCCCTCTCTCCGGCAGCTCTTCCCAGGTTCTCCAGCCAGCCGGCACCATCTGTGGCGCACCAGGGTGACAGCGCAGTAATGAGCTGTGAGGGAAATCCGGACCTGGTTCCCTTTGTCCGCTGGGAGCGCAACAGGGAGCGTGTGGCCCTGGACGGGCGGCTGATCCAGCTCCCCAGCGGGGCACTGGTGGTCAGCAATGCCTCGCAGGCCGACGCCGGCCTCTACCGCTGCGTGGTGGAGAACGTGGGCCCGGCTAAGCTCAGCGAAGAGGCAGAGCTGCAGGTCCTTCCAGGTACTGCTCCGCTTTCTTCTGATTTAGGCCCATGGTGTCCCTGGGGGTGTCTGGGCACCTTCACACCAGCTCGTGGTTTAACTGGGTAACTTTTTGTTGTGTCATTGAAATGGATGCCAGGCTTTGAGCAGAACCCTGGCATCTGTGAAAATGGTTTTGACATATTGGTTCAATAATTCTAGAGTTAAGGAGCAACATATTTCCTGGAAGCGGAAGGCACACCCAGTTTATCTAGAGAGGTGCTCCCTGGGACTGTCATTTATGCTCGGCCAGAGGGAGGCGCTCCGTCTTATTTTTGTGGCTTCTTCATGAACAGGAAATAATCAGAGCTTAGTGTAAGAGCAGGATTTTATATTAATAAAAAATACACATTTTGCGCTCTTGGTGATGGCAAAGTCAGGATCTAGATTTATTTTCCTGTGGTAATATAAATGTGTCATTTTTGTAGCGAGGCGACAACATCTTTGAGGTATTTGTGTTAATCGCTCCACGCCGAGACGCTGAAGTAGATCAGAGTAAACGGTGCTGGCCCGGCCCACCGGCCCCCCCCAGGACCAGAGAGCCCTTTAACTGGCTCTTTCTCAGCCGTATAAATCCTTCTGCACTCGGCTACATTTCTCGCTTTTCTTTCTGCCCGCAGAGACGGCAGCTGAGCGGAAGGTGGTGTTTCTGCGGCAGCCCCAGTCTGTCACCAGGAGCGTGGGGGACGGCGTGCTCCTGGCCTGCGTCGCCGTGGGATACCCCACGCCCTACGTGCGCTGGATGCTGGGAGAGCGGCCCATCGCAAATGGGTGAGAGCGGCGAGGGACCGGACACTCCTTCCTCTCGCCTGCGGGTGTCCCCAAACCCAACCCAACCCCCTCCCCCGTCCCAAAGCAGCCTCGGTTCTGTGTAATTATGCACAGGGGCTGCAGGGAGTAATAGGGTTGTACTGCAGATTAAATTTGCTTTGTTATATTAATTATTATGTTATATCATTATTTCGTCTGTTCAATGCCCTGAATCTCCGTATCTCCTGGGCAAGAGTCTTTAGTAACTTTGTTAATTAAAGAAGGTGTGCTTCACTAATGTGGGTGGCCCCCCCTTTAGCGGTGAGTAATTCTCTTGCACGCACAGCCCTCATTTCATGGCACGTCCTGCGGTAACGGTGACAGCGAGAGGCTCCGGCAGACGCGGGCCACACGGCCACCCCCTGCGCTCCACAGGCCCCACCGAGCGGCGCTTCGCAGAGGAGGAGAGCGGTCCAGCCATAATTAGAGTGATGATGAGGGGCAGATAGGGGAGGTCTGTAGGGAGGCGCTAATTAGCGGGGAGCGGCGGAAGCGAGCCGCTCGGAGCCGGAGACGCGGCCCAGGAAGCGCCCTCATGGACATGTGACGGGCATGGAGCGTGCTTCAGGGAGCTGCCCGCTTCCCGGGAATCCGCCACATGATCCTAGCAGGTGGCTTCCGGAGCTCGTGTTAAAGCACCAAAAAGGGACACGGGAGGGGGCGGATTGTCAGGTGGGTGGGGTGGCTTAGTCCTCGCTGTAGCAGTCTCCTGGCAGGAGTGAGCGGGGGCGCGTATGTGCTACTTGGGAAGCTTATGTTTGAAAGTCCATTTCAGTGGGAAGGGTGACATGTTGTCGTTTAATGTCAGGTGTTAGACGAGCCTGGGGATTGCCCGCCTGGACAGGCCAGTGTGGGCCGAGACCCACCTCAGTGCTCGACCTCCACCGCGCAGGTTCCATCATCTATGACGCCTCCTGCTCATCAAACCACGATTATGCTTTCATTTGTCTCCAGTTTTTAGTAAAAATATAATGAGTTCTGGCTGCCCTCCTCCTCCTCTTCCTCAGCATACCTCGACTCCGGGCTTGCTGGCCGTCCCACCCGGAGTGAGGTTTGGGCGGCACATGTTGATCTCGGTTCCTGCGTGGGCAGATATTTCGGGGCTCTCGATTGCCTGAACATACTGCCATGGCAGTGAAGGCAGGCAGCCGTGTGCCGTCACGTTTTAGGGCCTGTAACTCTGACATAGTGGTGCTGTTAAATCAGAGAGGCCTTGACATCAAACGACATGCTGCGGCTTCCCCTCAGAGGCTGCCAGCTGCATTATACCCCAGCATCTCGGCTGAAGGGGAGAGGAGGCTGTAACTAACATCTAGACTTTGGGCCTTTGTCCAGCAGGTTTTTGTTGGGCCAGCTTTGTGCTGGGCCAGCTTTGTTCCGCAGCTTCGTGCTGAGCCTGCTTCGTCCCGCAGCTTCGTGCTGAGCCTGCTTCGTCCCGCAGCTTCGTGCTGAGCCTGCTTTGTCCCGTAGCTTCGTGCTGGGCCTGCTTCGTTTTGCAGCTTCGTGCTGGGCCTGCTTCGTCCCGCAGCTTCGTGCTGAGCCTGCTTCGTCCCGCAGCTTCGTGCTGGGCCTGCTTCGTCCCGCAGCTTCGTGCTGGGCCTGCTTCGTCCCCATTTGTAGTCTTACTGTGGCTTGGAACGCTACCCAGGCAGGGGACAGTGTGGCTGTGAACCAGATACTCCCTCTCCTCTGCTCTCATTGTCCCTTGGTGGTGGGGGGGCGGCGGCGGCAGCATCCCACTGGCCCCCAGCTCCTGACAGCTCTATCAGTGCCTGCAGTTGGAGCCATTTTCACTCCCCTGTGCAGTGTTTTGCTGTACTGCCTTTGAAGTGGCCGGATGCGCCTTTCCAGTGCATCACCTGCCCCGCATCTCCTTCGGGTTGCTGTTGTCATGTTAACGTCTGACCTGCAGCGTGCCGAACTGTCCTCTGACTCCCCCACCCATCGGCCCCTCCCACACTCTGTCCCGCATCTTCCCCCCTCCGCCTGAGCGGGCACTGATTACAGCCCCCCTCCCCTGCTTCATGCCTCCTGTATACCACTCTCTCCCTGCTCCATTAATTTGGAGATTGGAATCGAAGTGGAGGTTCAGTATTTGAGCTTAGACAGGCCATTCCTTCTCCCCCTCCCCCATATACTCTTGATAAATGCAGTTTAAACAAGCTTGGATATCGGCCATTTGAAAAACACGGGTGGGAGATGGCAAATTTTTAAAATCCATTTAGTGAAATCCGTCAAAGCCCCTTATTGCACTTTCTGCAGTGGTCATGTTAACAAGATTAATGGTGAATTCCCGCCTTAGACGGCCTGCAGTTATTCCATGTAAAATTTCTGGTCTTTTTGTAAATTTGAGTTTCAAGCAGGAGTGAAGAATGCAGAATGGAAGTCGTTCATGGTGGAGAGGTGCGGGGGGGGGTGGCTCAATCAGAGTCTCATCAGAAACCAGAACTGGGTTTTTTTCTGGGGTGGGATCCTTTAATTATCCATGCAGGGAGAGGAAGATATTAGATTTTCACCCTGAAGGAGCAGTCTGACAGCTATCTTGAGAGTGGGGGGGGGGGTGCAGCCATGTGGGTATGCTGTGAAATGCTGTTTATAAACGTTAAGCAGTGTATTTCACTTGTTCCATCCAAACTATGAATAAAACATGGACTCCTTGCAGACAGGTGTATGCGCTGCTCAGGTGGGGGCTGGGGGGGGCGGGTACAGGCGGCCCTGGTAGGAGTGTTGGGGGCCAGACGCCGAGGACGGTGCCTCTTCCTGCTGCCTTGGCCCCAGAGAGCTGCCGACATCCTGTTTGGGGAGGCGGTATTAATGGCTAGCAGGTGGGCTTCCCATTGCCATGGAAACACTTTTATTTGTAAGCCCACTTTGTGGCCTGTTGCTGTCGACGTCCTAAACTGTCCGTTGATCTGGTGCTTAATTAAGTGAATCTTTGAGTGCTTTGGGTGGAGAAAACATGACTCATCTGTTTTTTTTCCGCTGGAGTGTAGGGGTTTGTGTGTGTGTGTGTGTGTGTGGGTTTGCATAGATCACATTTGAGGACCTAATTGTGTAACCTGAAATTTCCCTACTTTTGGGGAAATTTTTTGAGGTCCCCATTTGGATAACCTCAGTTTTATAAAAAATCTATGAATGCAATCAAAAAAGTAAAAATGACAAAAGTCTTTGGTTGGTTACTTATGGTTAAGGTTAGGGATGGGTAGGGGTTAAGGGTGTCGTGATTGGGATTAGGGTTTTTCCCATATAAATGAATGAACGGTCCCCATTTAGATAGGAAGACCAACTTGTGTGTGTGTGTCTGTGTGCTGCATGCATGTATGTGTACGCCTGTGTGTGTGTGTGCCTGCCCGCTCTGTACGGCCTGCCCGCTCTGTACGGCCTGCCCGCTCTGTACGGCCTGCCCACTCTGTACGGCCTGCCCACTCTGTACGGCCTACCTGTTCCGTTCCTTCCGGGTCCACTTGATGTATAGTGTACATGTGTGCATGACTGATGTTGTGTCTGTGTTCCGTGCTTGAGAACACTAACAATCACACTATGCGTACTGTGCGTGAGTCCAAATTTCCCCAAGTAATACTGAAATATTTATAAAACAAAAAAGAGATGGAATTATCCAAAATAAACTATTGCCAAAAGTGGTGCCATGAGATGCCAGCAGACAAAGCCGTGCCGACAAGCGTGATGTGATAACGATGCTGAAACAATAAGTGATGTGGGAGCAAGCTGTCTACGAAGGGCAGCCGCCTGCATCAGCACCCAGGACGCTACGGGCCTTGCTCACAGAGCCGCAGATGTGCCAAGGGCCGGGCTCGAACCGGCGACCTTCCGAGCACAGGGACAGAGCCTTAGCCCACTGAGCCGTATGCTGTGTATATTGGATATTTGATATTAACCATTGAATTAACTGAACCACGAAATAAAATAGAAAATAAAAGATGTGTACAAGTATGTATCGGCTTTTTGACAGGGGCACAGTGAGTCCTCATACGTTTTTCTGCCACCTCTGTTCTCTCCTCCCATCTATAGTTCGTAAGCAGTCTGTGCTGATTTATTATGCTTTTTCATGAAAACCAGCTGCTGGATCTGGTTATTGGTGACCTGACAAGCACTTCGCGTTTGAGGCAGAGCAGCACTGAGTTCTCATGTTACTCCTGGATGTTTTTGGACACGGGCGTGATTCCACGGAGGAATGCTTCGGCGAGCAGATACTCCAGTGACTTTCGGGAGAGCAGAGGGTGCTGGCCGATGTTTCTGCATCGGTGTGTGGTCTGGGGATTCATGGAGTCGAGCATTTATGTGAATGACCACCTTAGAAATTGAAGGTAACAAAGTGGATGGCCAGCAATGAGAGACTAACTCAACCAGCCTAAGAATGAGAATGGCAGAAGATGCAGTCAAAGGCAAGACTTCGAAATGCTTTCTGAGTGGTTCTGGGAGTTGCCATTGTGAATAATGCTGAAGCTCTCCCAGCTGACTTCATTGGAATTGATTTGCAGATGCTTATATCCCCTGCGACAGCTTACAGTTTTAAACATTTCACTTACGGTGAAAAGTTTCCCTGTTTATTTTATCAGGCAGTTTAATGGTAACGTACCATTCGCCAAGGGTGATTTCAGATTACTGGACAAATCGTTTCAGGATATATGCAGGGTCTTGAACTGATGACCTCAAAATTGACTTTGTTGCCAGGTGCACGTTGTGCTTTATTGCATTTACATTTACATTTACGGCATTTGGCAGACGCCCTTAGCCAGAGCGACTTACATAAGTGCTTCGAAGTCTCATCAGTGAAAACACTCTCATAGTGGTTCAGTAGAACCTGGCTAAGAATACTATCAGTCTAAAAATACTCTGTTGGCAAATAATGCAATAATACAGTATAATCCTGGAAGTGCTAAGCCAGGTTTGTATATTACCGCGGTGACATGGAAGCAGCTTTTGAGGTGTGACGTCGTCGTTGCAAACAGCCAGACTGTCCTTGTTGTATGTTTGCAGCCCCGGATGAAGCAGGAGCACCTGTATCTGTGCTGGACTGGGCTCACCGTTGGTTCTATGCTGCTGGATCTGATCTGATCCTATATCAGAGAGGCCACTGTGGTGCTGGTACCAGTCAGATCCAGGCCGTGGTCATCATGGATATCGCAGACCTTTCTGCTCTAAAGTGGGAGTTAATTTAGACCAGAGGATTAACCAAGGCGATGTTCTCCAGTCCCGTAGTTCCGTAGTCGTGTGACGCACACCAAATGGTGTAAACGTCTCACCCCTGCCTCAGCTCTGCTGGGGATGGATCCTCGACAGCCTGTAAATCCGGAGGTAATTAGCCCCGCCTGCTCCTTTGTTTAATGCGGTTTCTAATCTGTTCATTCTCACCTGTTTCCGTTGCAGGAGAGATAATGAGTTTTGCAGTCTTGCTTTCCAGTTATCTTCAAATGAATGATGTAGGCGGTTGATAATCCCCTCACATGGTGCTGTTGTGTGGTTCTGTTTGTTTAGGGTTCTCTTGATTGGGTTCATTGACATGTTTTGGTCTTTGGGCCAGTCGTGCCGTGGGGACGTTTTCTGGCTGAATTTAACATACGTTTCTAGACTTAGCAGGATCTGCTCCAGAATCAGCCGGAATAGCTGCCATTGGTCTGGGCCAGATGGTGAACAGAATGTGACATTAGGATGGAAGGGGGGGTAATTTGAGTATAGTAGTCGAAGTAGGGTTATAAAATGACGGGGAAGAAGGAAAACAGATGACAGCTATTTAAGCATCAGCATGGGGTGGGGGGGGGGCACAAAACACAGAGGGGGTGGATATCCGGAGGCCATGAGGGAAAACTGCTGGCAGTAAGGTGGCCCTCCCCTGTCGGTAGGAGCAAAGACAAGTTAAAGCAGTGGATCAGCCCCCCGCCCCCCAGGTGTGACCTTTGTAAACGTGCAGAAATAGAGGTGATAGCACAATGTGAAATCGTTTTTATAATAACTGCCATATTAATGCCTGAGGCCAATTTTAAAGCATATAAGCGGAATTGAGGGGGGATATAAAGTCTGAAGTGTGAAGCTCTGTTTGCTCTTTGCGCAGCCTGCCGGTTCCTGAAGCAGTTCTGTTTACCGGCGGCGAGGTGCTGGGGGACAAGTTTGTTTTAGGTATGGTGAGGTCAGCGGGGCGATGTTCCCGTCTGTCACCAAACGGCCCATGCGGGGGGGGTTCCGACCTCGGTCCCGAGCCGCCGAAATCCGTCCTGATCAGGCACAGCTGGCTCAGGTGAAGGCGGCCGCGGGGGGGGCAGGGGGGGCATGCAGAGGGGACTCTTTTGCACTCCTGTGTGGGCCTCATAATGGCGACTGGCTCTAGGGGTCAGTTTGCCTCCGTGTTACAGTGGAACCGCCGCGCATGTTTGTCTATGATGTGGTTTGTCTTAGGTAGGGTTACATTCCTGTTGCAGCCGTTTACTGATCATACAGCTGAGTGTTTTAGCGAAGGCCGTGCAGGTGCGGTTTGTTACGTAACGCAGTGCTTTGGGTTTGTGGGTTATGGTTCCTCTGTGTGCCCTCGCACCCGGAGCATGTTGCTGAAATGGGCCAAACACGGGGGCTGCTGCATGTCCAACCTGCATGGGGGGTTCACCCAGCTGGCTTCCACATCTGTCATCTGTCCTCCTTCCTTTCCCTCCTCTTCATTTTTCTCTTCCTCTTCTTTCTTCTTCCCTAGCCTCCTCCTCTCTGCTGCTGCATTTCCTCACCCAGACTCCATCATTCCAATAGATTCAATCTTCCTTTACTGGAAATAAGCCCTTTTTTCAGCAATCTATACACAGTAAATGGCTCAGATTAATTCTGTTCTGTGGTGCCATTCTCTGCAGTGAGCACTTAACATCAGGCAATAGACCATAAATACCACTGACCCATCGTAAGAGACCTTCTCAGAGTTCAGCAGATGCTGTTTTATATCCGCAGTGTCCCTGAGCGTGGCGACAGCCTGTATGGGGGGTGTTAAGGTGCTTTTCTCTGTCACAGAGAGGAGCGGTTTGAAGTGGTGGGCGGGAGCAGTCTGCAGATCTCCAACCTGACGGAAGGCGACGCGGGGATGTACACCTGCCTGGCAGACAACGGCAACGAGACCATCCAGGCGCAGGCCGAACTCACCATCCAAGGTTTGATGGCTTTTTCACCAACCTCCACCTCTGAGAGGTGGTGCTGCAGGTTAATGCTGTGCTTGGTGAGGTCCGCCCCACCATAGACGGCAAATTCTCTGACGCTTATTCTGCCAGCAATAGGTTTTATTTGCATTTTAAAATTACTTTCAGAAATCGCACTGTAATAATCATGTTTAAATATAATTTTTGCAGGTTTGTTTGTAAGGCATTAATTCCATCGTACTCCACCGTTCAAATTTTCTAAAAGCTTTAGTAATGGTTCGACCCACCCAGCCCAGGATGAACCGTAATGCAACGTCCCAAACCGTGTCTGCTGTTCACAAGCCGAGGTCCTGTCACCCTGCTGTCCTGGGGGGCTGCGTTCGCTTGTCATTGTTCCAGCTGATCTAGCCCTGGGGTGTGAAGGCACCAGGGTCGGGCTCCGAGGCCGCCGGTGTCGGCTTTCTGCCCGTATCCCGTGGCACATTCGGCGTGACGGTGCGATGGAAAGCAGTGCTGCTGAGTAACAGGCCCCGGCTCCGCGTGGCAACCTGTCACCCGAACCGACACGGCAGCGGAAATAGTGTCTGATGAAAATATCTTCTGTAATGTTTTCTGACATCGCATCGATATTTTTGCAGGTGAAATGGAGAGAGCCCAGAATTTAAAGGGTTTTTTTTTTAGTTCTCTTTCCCAAAGTCATATTTTCATCTTTAAAACATTCCTTTTCTCTGCTCTCTGCTGATAGGCGTCGGGTCACGCTCTGAGAGTCGTATCGATTGGATGAAGTGTTAAGGTTTCCTCTGTGAGCGGAAACATCGCTCTGATCTGATAACTAAACTATTTAAGGAGAAGAATGCCCCTCAGTGTCCCCCTCCCCCCAGCACTCACTGCTTACAGTCTTTAGCCTGGAACCACAAAAATCTCCTACAGCCCATTAAAAGTCCAGAGTCTCATCTAAGACATTTTACAGCAGTGATGGAAATAAGTAAAAGTAGCTTTGTTAGCCCCGCACGTCAAGCTGCTTTGTTTGTATTGGAAGACAGATCTGCTTAACGTCATGGAGAAATGAAATTGCTGTTCCCAGAACTGCTCATTCGGGTCCAGGTTGTGGTTGTACTGGGAGAGGCGTCCAGAGGCTGGGCTCATGCTGGGCGGAGCGGCAGACCATGTGACCTTACATGCAGCGATGCTGAAGGCTGCTTTTTGCTTGGCGCAGTGCCAAACCGTCCGTGATCCTGCATCGTCTTACTGCAGGCAACTGTGCACTTTGATGCCAGGCCTGGGGTGGCGCTGTAGAGCAAAGCTGCTATTAAAAGGCACGTTTGTGATGTTTGGAATCGATGTTATAAGAATAAATAAAAATTGTACTAAATGTAACTGTGCACTATGTACTTAGAGTATGCAAGGCAGGGTTAAAATTTAAATAATAATAATTCCATAATTTAAAATGATACGGAAAAAAAATTAACAAGAACTGTACGTTTTTGTTGGCTGAAACCAACAAATTAAACGTCAAATACTTACAGTTGCCATTGTAAAATATTTTTTGGAGAAAAGGTGTTTGTATACAATCTTTGGTTCAACTACTTTTTCACTTCCTGTTACTTTTCCCCTGGCCAATGAACGATCGCTCTTTGTCTGGCATCACTGAGCTGCAGCACGCCGGGACCCGATGTCCAAGGTTGACCCCATGAAGAAAATCACATCACAGTCACTGCGCATACTGTCACGCTGCTGCATCCTGCCTGTCTTCAGCCTCTGTGGGGCGCTGTAGTTCAGCACACTGGTGCTGTGTACCCTGACAGCTCTGTGCCCTGCCTGTCTTCAGCCTCTGTGGGGCGCTGTAGTCCCGTTCTGCACACTGCCGGATGTTGGTTGTTAGCGTGCCTACCTGCTTCAGCCTTGCATGGCCCTGCACCCGGATGTTGTCTGCTCGTATTCCCGGACAGCGCCCCCTGGCTGCAGCTGTTCCCTTTCATCCAATAGCCAACACAAGTTGCCTCCATACTGTATTGCTCTTGAACATGGAGGAGGGAGGTTTTTCCATTTCAGATCCAGTTAATAGAGAAAAGCTGCTCCATCCATCCATTTTCCAACGGGGGGGTCCGGAGCCTAACCCAGAAGCAATGGGCAC